CTATTATATGGGGACCAACCATTGATACGCAACATAAACTGAATTCTCTGTCCATTTGGGGCGCAAGAAGCGAAATTAAATAAAACTGAAATATAATTAAAATTTATGGTCCATTCCATGATTTATTATGCATTTGTGGTCGTCGCAATATTTGCAGGGGAAAAAAATGGAAAGAAGATAACCAATTCACCACATAATCATTATATTGATTTTACTATGCCATCCGGCTATCAACGCAATCCCGTTTTGCATCAGCAAAACAACAACAACAAAATTGGAGTGAGATGACCGATTGCTCACCAAACCATTTCGTATCACAATCAAATATATAGATAAGCAAATCCATACTAAAATGTTATTTCACTTTGTTATAAACAATTTTTTTTTTCGTTCCCTATGGTGATATTTTCAAATTTATTTCTCGATCATAAATCGAAAGGGTTGACTTTTTAATATATTCAAACCCCATTATATATTATCAATCAACATAATGGCCGTCTTATCAACATCGATAAAAAAATGTTGCATTCCATTTACAGTGCTTTGGTCGCCGACACGGTTTTCTAATAAGAAAAATTCAATTCAAACATCAAGAAAGTCATCCAAGTGAAACATAATATTTTTTTCATTCTTTCGAACGATTTTTTCTAGATTGTAAAGAAAATGCGATGAAATTGAGTTAGTGAACGGTTGGATCTTCTTTCAAACATAAATATGGTTTCTAATGAAATGGCCGAAATGTTGCGATAATTTTTATTTATTGAACGAAAACATGCTCAGCCATTTTCAATGACGAGAGAGAGAGAGAGATGTTTCAAACAATGATGGATTGAAACAATACTTAATCATCATATCAAAGTAAATTACGAAGTATTTTCGAAGATGATGAGAACTGAGGAGGTGGAGATGATGTAGAAGATTGTGTGCAGATAATATGTTGGATGCAACCATAATAATATCATATTTTAGAGGAAGATATATAATGACAATGCATAATAGACACACGAATCAATAGAGAAATGGTAATGTAATAGTGTACAAGTGCGTTATGCATATACGTATGGACACGATAGACGAATCAAAATACAGATAGAAAATCAGTATATATATGGTTGAGAAGAACTCTATTGCATACTCGCATGCATACACGCTTTTATACTTCAGATAAAGTAATAAATCAAAATTTTGTAGTTGCATGTTTTTTTTTTACCTAGATGCAGAACGAAAAATACACATTGCATTTCGCATGGATAGATTTGCAAACCCATTCATTTCGACTTTTCTGGCGAAGAATGTATAAATGAATAGCAATAAAAAACAATGTATAGATGGAGAAAGAGAGATGGTGCGGACGAGTGCGAGAAGAGCCTTGCAAACACATTCACGTCCGTTCAAAGACAAAAAGAATCGTTCGCATGACAAAGAACAGTTGCATATGATTCATGGAGTGATGACTTTGTTCGATTTCGCATAAGGATAAGAGTGATGCAACATTCGGGGAGTTCTCCGGCAATTCGGTGGTTTTATCTAACTTCGTTGTTGATTTGTGCTGAATCAATATTTTATCCTTTAATTATTTTTTTTCTTCCTCTCTCTCTCTCTCTCTCTCTCTCTCTCGTCAATTCTACCACTTCTATTTTGTGTCACGCCGAGAAAAAAAGATTTATGCCAAAAGTTTGCATGGTTTGACGTGTGTTTTGAATTTCAAATGGAATAAATGATGAATAACGTCGTTGGTGTGTTCCATTTCTAGGTGACAACGTCGAGAATAAGCATCGAATTTTTAAAATCACTTGCCACAAAAAAAACGGAGCGGACAAGACATTTTCCAATTTGAGAAATGAAATGTGGTCATTATTTTTCTTTCTTCCATAACCATTACCATCAACTTTTCGCTCAGCAGCGTGCGGGCGTGCGTCTCTCTCTCTCTCTGTATTTTTGTGTTTGTAGATATAAACTGAATTTTTGAGAACTGAAAAGCTTGCACAATTTTTTTTCGGCTGTTTTTTTTTCTCCACATTTCCGGTTTATTACTTAAAAGTAATTTTCTCATTTCTCTACTTAAGTTACATTTACAGTGTGTTTGATGTGTTCTTGCGTGTTTCGTAAATAAATTTTTGGAGGAACGAGCGAATGCGATCAAACAAAAAACCAAGAAACGTGACAGTGACAAATAATTTCAATGAATAACATGCTTCAAAAAAAAAGAATCTCCAACTTGATGAAAAAGAAACACGAAGAACCAGAGAAAAAGAGAGAAAGAGAAAAAAAATAACACGAAATGAATGAACGAATGACTGTTGTATTAAGTTTTTTTTCTCTCCTGTTTTAACGTCTCATTTCTCTTTCGTCTATTGCCGGCAAATGTACACTTCGGGCGTTTGTATGTTAACTGTACATGTTTCGATGAAAAATTACTTGCCACAACCGATGCAATGGGTTTGAATGTTTACCGAGATGCTGAATTCGATTTTATGCTCACTTGTTTATGGATAAGAAAAAGGAACTTAACAAAAAAACACACACACACATACACTCCAAATAAAGAAATAATAACAAAATTCACGTATGAAATATTGGGGCAGCAGTGTATTACAAGTTTGCGGATTTGTTTCTATTTCATTTGCCTCGCAGCTATCCAACGGAACATCGTTGGGATAACTATAAACATTACATTTCTGCCCTTCTACTTTTTACAATGCCAAAATGATCGTCATTAAAACATCCGAATTCATCAAATATAATGTGACCATTGCAAAGTGCACAAAACATTTGAATATATTGGCGCAACAAAATGCGCCATTTTTTTGAAACTTTCCAATTACATTTTCTACAGAACACAGAGATAAATCGGAAAATATATGAGCCAGGGCTGTCGAATTTGTGATGTTTCAATTCTATGGTAGAAAATCTGCTTATATTCGAAAGAGTTCAATGAAAATAGTGACGCGAAGTCCAATTCACCTCGAACACAATGAGTTGAATAATACGTCATTTCATCTTGTGAAAAGCTGAATAAAAAGTCCATTCCAATAATACATAAATACTGCATTCATAATACGTGTCGCATTGTTTATATCGATTGTTCTATGTGACACAGATGAGCATAACAATGGACCCAAAAGTACGTGAATTAAAAAAAAGTATCACGACACAAGACATCGACCCAATTTGGACAATTCTGTGTTTATTTTTTCTTCTTGTTTTTTTGATAGAGAAATCTTGTCTGTTCGAACAAGTTTTTTTCGCCTTGATACAACGTAATGCATCATTATCCTTCATAAATTGGCTTTCTATTTGGAATCAATGTTTTTCGAATGAATGCCTCACGAAATAATTTGGTATTTTTATAATCTACAAAAAAAAACAACAACAAAAAACATCTCGAATTATTGATGAACGTGATTTAATTGTAGTTTGTTTTTAATACACTGAGAAAAAAAACATTGTGCCATTAATCGACAACGAATGAAGAAAAAAAAAAGTTTTGATTTCTGTTGTTAATTTATGTGTGTGGTAAAATGGTTTTGGCGGGCTTATGTGGACAAACGACATACAGACTCTTACAATTGTCCTTTCGCATTATTTGCCGCACTTTTTCTTCGATATATCGTTTGTTCACTCTATTTGCAACTCACTCATTCCTCTATTTCTCTCTATCTCCGCGCGTCTCTCTTGTATTCCATACGAATTCGTTTTCGTGTGGCACATTAGTAACGTACGAACGATAAAAACAATCGAAAAATGAAACATAATATACCGAAATTGTATCAATTCCCAACGTCTTTATCTGATGGCTATGTGTGTGTTTTATCTCTTAATTGCATGTAACACAATATGTTGTGGTTATCATTAAGGAGATTAGTACAAATGTGTTGTTCATTTCCAGATACAATTTGTTTTCGATTCTCTCCTTCTCTGTCTCTTCACCAAAAACCATTGGTACCTTTTGAATGTCTTTTACTTCCATTATCCGTTTTATACGTTGATGGCTCTTTGTGGTTGAATGTGAATTTGTGTGCATGGGCCAATGTGTGTGCAAGTGTATTTTTGTAAATGGATTTGGATGCGTGGTTTGCTATTAACTATTGGCCTTTCGTTCTCATTTCAATCGTATGCTTTCCATCGTTTTCATTCAACATTCGAATTCTTAGCCAAAATTGTAACCATGACACTACAAACTGGCTTCGCACTCCTTTTACCATGCATTGAATGTCGGACAAAAAGAGACAAAGCTAACGAGTACAGTTCGGTGGCAAATTGCAGCAAAAGCATACACATTTAACCGAATAAGACAATTGCGTTACACAAACTGACATCCCATTAGAAATGGCCGAAGAAATGAATGGAACGATTCACTAAAATGAGACATAGACAGAGAGACGCAGAGAGCGAGAACCGATAAAGAATGAAAGGAGAAAAGCAGAACCAAAAAAAAAAACTAAATACCATCCAAACCGAAGAAATGACAAAGACAGACCGTTTCGTGTGCAGAGAAACCAGAAACGATACCTAATGTTTGGCAAATATAATCAAATTAATGTGATTGATTGTGTTTTGCGTTTGTTTATTTTATTTTTGTTGTTTTTGTGCCATTGTCTAGTGCTTGCTGCCGTTTGTGTTCGCCTGTGTCTGCCCGATTACGATTATCGGACATTTACCCATCTGTCCCGATGTTTGCGTCACACATTTATTTTGCTTGCCTGTTTGTCGAACTGCTGCTGCTTTTTTTGTCCATCTCGTGTACGCACCGGCACACACTCACTTAAACGGATCGAGAAAAGTGCTGACATTCTATTTTAATTAGTACAGTGCTAACAACAAATGTTAAACACAACTTGTTATGAATATGTATGCGTATACGTGAGGCAACCAAATGCAATTTCAAAATTGTAGTTTGTTTCGCATAACGGCTATTGATCGACAGAACGAGTAAACTACTGCTTTTTTTTCTCAATTTTATAGTAAAGAAAACGGAAAACAACAAATTTTCTACTTACGATATATCTCCGAATGGTGCGAACGCATCCTTAAGCTGTTGTGTTTCTATTTCGGGACTTAAATCCCCTACGAATATGTGATAATGTTCTGAAATTAGAAATGAAATGGTTTTTATTTGGTTAGATTGGTTGGATTGGCTAGAATTTAGTTTAGTATTGCTTAGATCGATTCGTTGTATCGGACTTTGGTGTATTCGTAACCAGCACCTTAAATGAGATGTACGGTACTGGTGAATAAAGAACATGCCTGTATCTGCAATTTATCAATGATCAACACCAATATCCAATATACACAATCGATAAATGAGTGTGTGTGAATTTAATCTAAAACTCAATGGCTATTATCGAATTGGCTGGGCAAGTGAATATCCATCAAATTCAAACGATAAATTCAAATTTCGTTGCACAATTTGGTTTTAATAGTTTTTGCAGTGTGTTGGATTTACGTTTTTTAATGTGCTTTGTCTTTTTTTTATATGTGGATGCCGTTGCTGTTATTTTGTTTAGTATTGGCGGTTGAACTCTTCCCAATTTCGGTCAAAAAGGGTGACGAATTACGTAACATTTTTGCTATTGCACCTGCCCAAATGCATATTCTCATATGTAATTTTTTTCACGCTTCACAAAATCAGCGATTTAGCCGCCATCAATACTATTCAATTTGTGGTTGGAAAATTTTCAATCACACATTTTCTGTGTTGGTATTTCACGTTATGTTACTTGTTCCCGTCATTCAGAGATAGAGCTGCATTTTCAGCTCTCTCATTTATTCAACAAAATATGAGTGTTAATAGGTTAGATTGGCAAAAACGAGCCAAAGTGCATTTAAATATCAAACAATTTAAGCGATCGAACAACAGGAAAAAAAACGATAAAAAAGCCAACAGACGACTACAACTGGCCGGCATATTTGAGCTTATCGGTTTCGTCTGGACATTTGATCGCTCAGCACGGTTAAATTAAATGCCAAAAATAATTTTTACAGAAAGATTTGACAGAGAAAAAACCACAAAACAACAACACGAACAGTGTACATAGAGTGAGTGGGGTGGACGGAAGGAATTGACTAAACTCTCTCATATTGGTTCACCTCGTTTACAAACTAGCGCAACTAAAATGTTAGATTGATATGTTGCAGAGAATGGTCGGTGGCTACCAAACACACCGTGTTCGAAATGATTGCACTATTGACCGAATCAATTGTGATGGAAAAACGAGATACATGCTTAGCAAACTGCAGCAGCAGCAGAAGCAATAGTATCATCACCACCATCACCACGAATTTTGAGCAGAGAAAAAATAGAACGAGAGGAGGAGAGAGAGAGAGAGGAAAAAACAGCTATCATCCAAACAAATCGATGGTGGTCAGCAATGAAACACCAAAAAAAGCCGTTATCCAATTTAATAATATTATTGCCAAAATGTGGTTTGTTCACATGTTAAATTTCACATGGGTCTTTCCGCGGTTTCAACAAAAACAAAGCACGCATTCAAAATACCACCAAAACAACGATAAACAGTCAAGCAAAAAAAAAATACGAGATTCAAACTCACACCAAAAGATAGAGCAGGGCATTAGAGAATGAGCGAAAGGAGCAATGCATTTGCCGTTGACCTGCACATTTATATGTATCATTTTGTGTGCACAGATCAACAGACAGATATGCTCATATCAATCAATAAATAGATAAAACCACCATTACATTATTTGCAATGAATGAGTGAGAAAAATAGATAAAATGCGAACGATATGCATTACTTTAAATAGCTTTAAATAGGATTGCATTGAATGGTGGTTGCGGTGGTGGTGACGGTGGCAACAGTGGTATCGGTGTGATGGTATTGGCGTTAACGCTCATTTTCAAAATACGCATTCATTCAAAGAACATAAATCAATTTTAGTTTTGGGAAGCCTCCATTAAACTATTGGATATTTATTTTACACTAATTCAAATCTACGGAATTGTATGCTGACCGCAAAACATCGTTCAATCTTTTCAATGAAAATGCAAAGATGAGCTAACCTCGATGCCAACTATCACTCTTTGGCTCTCTCTCTCTCTCTCTCTCTCTCTCTCTGTATCGCTCTCATTTTCAATGCTAGAGTTCTATCTTTTTATCTGTTTCTGGCATTGCCCAATACCAAACTCAAATCATTTCGATGCGAATAGCATTTGGAAAATGCCAAATTTCATGAACGTATAGATTTCAATCCCTTTGGTGTTTGATGCTTCAGTGATGTTTAAAATGGCAATGGTTTTGTAAGCCTTTTAGTTCTTTGGCACTTTGGTAAAGTTTTTAACATTCGAAAATACACTACTGTTTCGTGTTTATGCGCAATCAAAATGGAATGTGCGATAGAATTTCAATAGTGTTTTCTCTCTCGCTCGCTCTTTAGTTACAGTTCTTTTCATGTTAGAATTTTAATATAAATGCTTAACTGGTGGAAAAATTCAAAGAAATTTGATCAAAAAGCTGTTTTATTTACATTTTAATCAGAGGAATAAGCATCGTTTTGCTCAATACGTAATCGATATCGTTATCGTTGCCATTATAATTTCATCGGATACTAGTTTGATGTGTCATGGCCCGTTATACAGTGTGTAAAATGAGGAAATCAAATGAAATTCGATCCAGAGAATGTGATGTACCCCTTCACGAATTCAAATGAATTTTTTTTCCCCCGGAACAGAGAATCCGATTCCGGTTATCATCTTCTTTGTAGAATTTCATGTGATTCAGTTACTCTCATAGGTGAAAAAACATCCTATAAGGTGATATCCAGTGATATATATTACACAAAAACCAAAATTGTTAGTGAAATGAGAGAAACAGAAATATGAGGACCAAAAAAATCCCAACAAAACCAAAACCAATTCTCGGCGAAGAAAACAAATTCCGAATTTTAATAACCAAAGTACACTCACATTATTGTTTTCGTCGTTATGCGGTTAATGTTACACATCAAAAGCATCATCACCACACATTTCTCATTCACTCCGTTCTCGTATTCAATCCCGCTATTTCGGTTGGGATGACAATGCTTTTTATGTAACATTGAATCGCATTAAAAATCCGGGCTTATTAAATCGATTGTTTTCTATCTCGTACACGATTGTAAATATGTACATGAACACGAGCAATCGAATTGCATATGCTGATATTTTCGATAGGTGTATGTTTGTTTTATGGTTTTATTCATATTTCCAGTGAAAAATAACTGAATTTTACCACGATAAAGGTGCTTACATCGAACTAAATACCGCGTATCGCATTTCAATGACGGCAAATGTACGGAATGTCATTATATGTGGATATGTTGTTATGCGTGTGTGTCTCTGTGTATTGTGTTGGTGGTGTGATCGTTATTGTTTTTTAATCTCTACCGATTTGCTTCCACTAAAACAATAATACATTTAATTTATGCGATTGTTAATTGATTATAGGAATTAAAAGCAAACAAAATACAAAAGCTTGTGCGCATATTTTCGTTCATTATAAAGCGTTCGTTGAGCGAGAGGGGGCGAGAGAGAGAGAGCGAGAGATATAGAAAAGAATTTGTATCAACATATGATGGCGTCGCCTGATATTTTTGTACATGTGTATAGGTGTTTGTACAGCGATTTAACAACATATCCGAGCGAGACGTAAATCTCATTTCACCATGTTTGCATTGTGGATTTACTCTCCATCCCTGTGATTCGAAAAGACGATTTATTGTGTCGGCAATCAAACTGACACACATTTTGAAAAATAAGCACAGAGTAAAATAATAGGCCTTCACCTCTCTTAATCAACTGCGAAAAATAGTTTTAGAAAAATAATAATAATAATAGTTTGCCAATTCGATGGCTACAATGGAGCGTTCGATTTCGATTCGAAGATGTAAAAATGTGCGATGTCAAAAAGCACTCAACAAATGTCATTCAATTATTGGTTATATGAAACTTTCATCATCACTAATGGCAAGTTCATTTACTAAGTACATGGATTATATAAATCTGACCAATTTTCGATCGAACGTCCGAGTAGTGTCTCCAATGTTCGGTAATGTGCTTAACATTTTGTTCATGATAAAATCCACTAAAACATACGGGTGATGGTGTCTGCTTTCGATGTAGACATACACTAATGCATAATCGCATTTTGTTTGTTTCTTTCTTACGTTTCGTTTGAAATTCAGCTAGTTTAAGATGTCGATTTTCGGGCATAAAAGAGAAAAATAAATGCTAAAATTGCGTCCATTAGCACTTACAGGTGACCTTCGCTCTGTTACTTTACGACACAAAATCGCGTTACATTATCGGATCACAAAATCACTTGTATATAGTCGCTTGTGCTGAACGAATGTCAGAGGGTCACTTTTGCATTCATCAATCGCTTTTTCCTTCTTTTACGCACCACCTTAAGCATAGCACTATGCGACTTCATCAACACGAAGATTACACTTTTCAGTTTTACACCATTTGCAGATTGAGACACAAAATGTGAAACGAACATGTTTTGTTTGAAATATAAAAGAGGGCAAATTCCAAGGGGCAAGACACCGTTTCTACTTCTATCACACATGCGCGCTGAGGGGTTTCCCGGTTTGACCCCCACCTGAGGCAAATCTTTAGGAGATTTACCGGTTTGACTCCCTCTGAGAATTTTTTTCTCACATTTGCAATATAATTGTATAAAAAATAGCAAAAATACGCTGATTTTGAAGTCAAACTTGCAAAATTTCGGTTCGCTTCGCTCGTAAACACACATTTTTACTTGTTTCTCTCATGCAAAATTGTTATTTTCGTTTTCCATATAAATACCCTCCTCCCCCCTCGAGACCAAAGTCAATTTGACCCCCCCTGATCAAAAAAACCGTGCACATGTGTGACTTCTATAGTTTAGTATATCCATTTTTTCTAGTAAACTCTAGTATTCTAACGCATTTTCTATGGAGAAAGGCTCCAGTAACACTTTGACAGTTCTCCGTATACAATATTAACTTCTAGTATTCTCTAGCTTTGTCAATCAGTGTCTATACCTTGAGAAATCCCCTTTTAGATATAATCACTAACGTTGTGCATTTTTCAACTTTGGCTAAAT